AAGAATTCGAAAATGAAGCAATTTAATGAGCTCACTTCGACATCCATGTATTGTGAGCTGTTTTGGAGTTTCTCTGACAACCAATGGAAAATATATGATTGTAGAATATTTGGAAAATGGAAGTCTAGAAAAGGCAATTTATAATTCAAAGATGGGAAGAACAATTTTGAGATTTGAAACCAAGTTGAAAATATTAACTGATGTTGCCAAAGGATTAGTTTATTTACATTCAATCAAACCTCATAGAATTATTCATAGGTATGTTTACTAGTTTTATTGGAATAGATATTAATTATGGAATAGAGATTTGAAACCAGGAAATTTATTACTCGATAAGAATATGAATGCAAAAGTTGGGGATTTTGGATTGAGCAAAATTGTTTCGAATAATTCTGCAACAATGACAGCAAATGTAGGAACTTTACTTTACATGGTAAGTCGATAATTTCACAAATTGAATTAAAGTGTTATCAATTTAGGCGCCAGTAAGTAATTTCGAAATTCAATTCATTAAAATTTCGAATATTTTACAATAGGAATTACTTTCGAATGATCACAAAGGTCAAAGTACAAAAGTGGATATTTATTCATTTGGAATTATTATGTGGGAAATTTTATTCGAAGAATCACCATTTTCAAATGAAATTGATGGTTTCACTAATGTTTTCCAAATATTGAAGAAAGTTACAAAAGGTCATCGACCACCCTTACTATTCGAAACTAGTGCTTTATTGGAGGGAGATAAAAACCAGAAAGTTGATGAATGGATTGATCATAACTTCACAAAGAAACAAATCGAAACTATTGGAAAGGAAAATATTTCTAAATTATATGAATCGTATATAGAAATTATGGAACAGTGTTGGAATCATGACGCATCTAAAAGACCTGAATTTATTGAAATTACAGATCAATTAGAAACCTTGCAATCGAACTTTGCTTAATTTCCTTTATCCAATCTTTTTTAGGAATTACTAACTTTCTGGAATGTTTTCCAAGTTTTTATTTCTTTCAAAGGTTTATTATTTCTTGTTGATGTCACTAAATTCATAGATTCCATTTCCATATTGTGCCATTTCTTGCATGTTAGGTGCAGAACCTGACCCAATTCCAGTAAAATGGAAGTTGGTGTCTGGATGTGCATCTCTAATAGATTTAAAGGCATCAACAGAGCTGATATCCTGAATATGACCATCACACATAATCAAAATATTTTCAATCTTTGGAAATTTTCTAAAAGTTTGGTTTAGGGTTTGGTGAGGTCACCAAGAATGGAACATTTGCAGAGTTTGCAGTTTTTAAGGAGAAGGAATTGGTTAGAAAACCTGATTGCCTAGATTTTGATCAAGCTTCGATAATGCCTGCTATTGGAATGGCTATTGTGGAAATGTGTCGATCACATGATTGGATTTTACCAATTATTGAAAGAGAGGCAGATAGAATCAAAGCAAAGTATTACCCAATAATGGAACTGACCACACATTAAGAAATTGGTTTAGAGCATCCAAATCAGTAGGTTCAATTGTGTCTCTGTGTTTAAACCACTCAGTTGTAGATCCCCATAAGGCAATGGAAATTTTTAGATCTCCAGTAATAAACGCCTTGGATTGAACAAAATTATTAAAACAATCAATTAAAGTTTTGAAAGGAGATCCTTTCATTGATCCGGAAGCATCACCCAGAATAACAATCTGGCCCTCTTCAATGATAGATGATCCAGCAAGTTTTGAATTCTTACTGGTTGTCTTGAGAGAGGTATTGATTTTCAAAGCATCTGCTCTAGTGGTCACTTGAGCTGGTTCAATAATCTTTGAATTCACCTCGATACCAAAAGAAGGTATGTTGATATCCACAAAACCAGGAGGAAGAACTTGCTTGAATCTTCCATTCATATCTGTCTTGCACTCAAAGTGAGTAAAGTGAGTGTCTCTTTCGTTTTTTCTTAATTTGCAAATAGCTTGTTCATTGCTAACAGCTTCATCATGGTTTTTAAATTCAAAACTAATATCTACCACTTTAAGATCATAGAAATCAGGGGCAACACTTCCATTACGTTCCACCTTGAACTTGAACTCTGTTAGAGGAATACTTAATTTTGCCTCACCCATTTCAATTCTTGGCTTGCAACTATAATCACCAGGATTCAACTGCTTGGTGTCAATAAAGGCAGTACAAGTTTTGACATGAGTGGTGTTTTTGAATACCTCCAACTTGATATCTTCAGAGTATGGATTAACATAAATGGTATTTTCCTTTGGAAACATGGACCTACTACTTACTTTTCAGCATCTTTGTTCTTCTTGTCAATGTCTTCTACGTTGTTCTTGACAGCTACAGTTGCAAAGACATCATCAAGTTGGAGATCTTTGAGCTGTTAGAACCCTCTCCACTTTTAAACTTTTCCTGCATAGCTTTAATGCTACCTCTTCTTTTTGACAATTCAGTTACTTCCTCTCTTTCCTTGGTAATTGTACTGCTTGAAGTAGAAGCAATCAAAGGAACTTGAAGTAATGATGGCTTGACTGGAGTCCTCAAATACTTTTGATCAGTTTCATTGCTTGGCTTTTTCTCAAATTGTTGGGAAAGATTTTTAACACTGTTTGTTGTTGGTATCATGTTGGAGTTGATTTTTTTTGATTATTATTTTTCCATGACAGCAAGTCAAATGAAAGAATTTCAAATTATTATTGTAAACTGATTTTTTAGCAAATTTGCACCAACCTACCCTGTTTGATGGAAAAGAGCAACCAATCCCCAAACAGAAATAAATCAAACATGTCTGTGTTGACCTTATTTCATATTTTTCTGGCACTAAAGGCAAGAAATAGTACTCTAGTACAGATAATATTTCTTTACAATCTTCCACTACAGTTTTCATGTCAAATCACCTGATAAATTTATCAACCATGTTCCATTCCGACCAAATATTGTAAATTGTAATCCAACATCTCAGTTCTTGAGTGAGTAAAGGAGTTGTTCGTGAAAATTAATGATGGAAAGCAAGAGAAGGAATGCTTATATATTTCTATTGCGTATGCACCACGAATATTCTTGTTGTTATTGGGTGATATTTATTATTAATCTCCATTGAATATTATTCTTGATGATGAATTTAAAAATCCAAGGAAGGCTTCCGAACATGTTTTTTCTTGCTTGTTGCGCTTTCATTTTCCGTTAAAAATTTGCAAATAAAAAATATTTCAAAATTAAAATCACTGATGATGAAGCCATCAATTATTTCAAATAATACTTGTATCTATTATATGTAGTAATAATGATGATGAAACTGGCCAAAACTCTAGAAAGC